TGTTTCGAAAATTAATTTATTTTGTTAACTAACTAGATCATGTGTTTTAAGAGTACCTTAAAAATCTCCTTCTGCCCAAAGGTGTTAGTGTTTTCGAAAACCAATATGTTCCATTAACTGACTTGATTATGTGTTTTAATAGTACCTTACAGCGTGTTATATTGTTGGCCCAAATGTGACTTTATAATGATGCATCTAGGCTCTTACCGTAATAATGTTCATTTGATTTTGACTTTAATTACGAACCATCTAATTAGTAACACATGTTAATTAGATGAATATGTTATCATCCATTGTCTGCATGCACTATGTTTGGATGATATTAAATATGTTATTTTATATTTCCACAGTTTTAAATGCCTCAATTCTTTCGACTCAATTGTCTGTTATTGAAACCTTGACTGTGAATAATTACGTGAAATGGAAACGAGACATAGAAATAGCACTTGGTCTTTTGGGGTTGGATTTTGCAATGGAGAAGCAGCTACAAATAAAAGCGATCGTGAATATGTAACTGAGTATGAAAAGTGGGAAATGACTAATAAACTTTGTTTGAAAATTATTAAGCGCTCAATATCTGATTCCATTATGGGTGCTATTCCGGATAACGAAAATGCTAAAGTTTTTGTGGATGCCATAGGATTGAGATTTGTTGAGTCTGATAAAGTTGAAACTGGAGATCTGATGGACAAATTGATGAAAATGAGATAGGATGGTATAAGTGGAGTTAGGAAGCACATTATGAAGATGATNGGGGTCTTTTCATAACCATAAGTCTGAATTCCACAAAGGTGACAAGTCGCACCGTAATCAGCAGAACAAAAAATTTGGAGGTCAAACTTCTGGTGGTCCCATAGGAGCGATAAAGAAAAATGATCAATGCAAGTTCTGCAAGAACAAGGGTCATTAGCAGAAAGATTGTTTTAAATTTAAAACTTGGTTGGAGAAAAAGAAGAGTTCTGCAGGGGTTCATGAGCAAACGGAGGCCAAGTGAGAATGAAGTAAGCTCGTGCGTTAGGAATTGAGTTCAAGTGAAGGTTGAGTTCTTAGGAGTAGTGAAGTTAGTTTTGGAATATATTTTCTTTTTGGGTTTTAGAAAACTACTATTTTTGTACCAACAATGAGACGGAATTTAATATCGATACTTGATGCTTCTGGTTTTACTTTTAATTTTGGTAATAAAATAGTTGAATTGTTTTATGATTCTCGTTTAATTGGAAACTGCCTCTTATGTGATGATTTATATATATTGTTTTTGGTTTCTTTTGGTGAAGGCTCTTGTATTGCGAATATGTCAAAGAAAAAGGTCTCTAATTTGTGAATCATCCTCCATGTTATGGCATAAGAGTTTAGGTCACATTTCAAATGATAGGATAGAGAGATTGGTTAAAGTTGAGATACTTTCCTCTCGCTCTCGACTTCTCTGATTTTGACACTTGTTTGGATTGTATAAGAAGATAGTTGACTAAATCTACTAGGAAAGTTTCCACTTGGAGTGATTTTAATGTTGGTCATATTGTTGACCCTGTTACTTTTAAATGAAGTTTTGACAAGTCCTAAGTCACGTAAATGGATAAATGTTTGGATGATGAAATAAATTCTGTGGAATAGAAAAAACTTTGGAAACTTGTTGAATTTTCTCCGGATGCTAAAGCCATAGATAACAATTGGATTTTCAAAAGCAAGTTGGACTCAAAAGGAAATGTTAAGACGACTTTTCTGGAGATCTTTCGGAAATGGTTTACATGAGCCAACCTGAAGGTTTTGTTCTGAAGTGAAAAGAAAACTTGGTATGCAGGTTAAATAAACCCTTATATGGCCCTCCCAAGCAGGCATGAAGACAGTGGTATTTGAAGTTTGACGAGATTGTGACTTCTCTTGTTTTTGTTGAAAATACAGTCGATCAATATATTTATCTTAAAATCAGTGGGAGAAATTTTATTTATCTTGTCATACATATTGATGACATTTTACTTGCAAGCAGTAATTTGGCTCAGTAGGTTTCAGTCAAATCCAGGAGCAGAGCATTAGAAAACGGCTAATAAAATTATGAGATACTTAAAGATAATGCTTTCTTTCTAGCATTCAAATCACCTTGAGGTGGTAGGCTATTCACATTCTGATTTTGCTAGATGTCAAGATGATTTGAAATCAACCTCAAGTTATATTTTCATGTTGGCTGGTGGTGCTATCTCGTGGAAAAGTGTAAAACAGAGTCCAGTTGCATCCTCTAATATGCAGATTGAATTTGTGGCATGTATGGAGCTACAATTCAAGCCGTTTGGTTAAGGAATTTTATTTCTGGGCTGAAAACTATTGACTCCATCTCGAGGCCAATCGCCATTATGACAGATGCGATGATTGAAAATTCTTTTGACTAAGGGACTCTCTCCTAAAGTTTTTGAGACTCATGTTACTAATATGGGCATTATGAAAACCTTTGATATTTTTGGTTAGTGTGAGTTATTTACATAAGAGGACTACATTTTGGCTTGATCCCTTCACAGGGTACATAAGCAACCCATATGCTCTTCGGGTACAACCTCTTCTAGTAATAATAAATATTTTCCCATATCCATAAAATTTTTTGTTCATGTATTTAACTTATGTCTTTTATTATGATATCATTTTGATATCGAGATATGGCAATTAAAGACATAAGATGAGTCTCTTTTGAGACATGTGGCTTCATTTTGATTAGAAGCATTTTGAGGACCGATATGAATTAGCACAGTTTTTATCACATTTGGTGCTAAGTTCATACTGCATACTACCACACTGGTTGGAGGATGGGGATCTATGTCGATAAAGATGTTGGCATTTGTAGTTGTGAAGTGGTCTTACATCGTTTGATTGATGTAATGACTTCCATGTTCGATGTTAACATTTTTGTTGGACCGGATCATATTGTGTAAGGTGTTATTATTGCAACTGTACTTATGTGGCCACCTATGTAGTCTGACCCGGATGTTAGAATTTTTCCTAAGCAATCAAATGTTTGCCCAAGTGGGAGAATGTTGGAATTATTCTATTATGTGGGCTTCCATTTGATTGCGATTTTTACGAGTTAGATGTATGATTTGCAATAATACTGTGATTATGCCAATATGTTGGTGATCACTTGGACCGTTGTACACCGACGTGCTATATTATTATAATGTGATAATTTTAAGTATGTGGGCCGGAATTATGTGAACCCTAATTAGGGTTAGAGTCGGTAATGGGCCGACTTTATGATTTCCTATATAATGGGTAGGTCTTATCTCCTCTTCATATCGTATTGGCTTACCCTATTGACGACTGATTATTTTGAGGAGCAAGGAGAGGAAGATCTAGCCGGTAATATTTATATATAATAATGTCTTCCGCATGTATGAATTTCGAACTATCAATTATAATATGTGATTCTTATTCTTAGCATAATTATTGAATAATTACAACACCAAGTTCAAAAGTTAGTTCACAAATGCTACATTTGGCAATCTTCACAGGTACCAAAAGATGAAGAAGAGAAGAAGATTTATGGAGTTTTCTTCCGTCCCTCCTCATCAGCTCACTCCCACTTCCCCAACACCAAGAATGGTACTTCTTTAATCTCAAATGATCATCTATTTAAAAATAACTTTTAAGTTTAGCCAAACACGTCTAAACTTAAAAGCGGCTAAACTTAAAAGCTACTTTGAAAAAACTTCTTTTCTCATTAGTTTAGAAACTTCTTGATGCCTGTCAAGTCTCAAGCTTGACTTGATTGGTGTTTGTGGCATTCGAGGTTGCACAACTTGAAGGTATTGGAATGGTGCCTCTAGCACTATTTGGTAAAATAATCAAACATGGTGTGTAACATCACATATTCACAATATGTATTCTTCTTGCTTTGCATACTAATGCAGTGAAATAAAATTTCTGATAGTAAAACAGAGATTTGGGTGTCATATCTTTTGTTTTTGGAGTATAAATTTCTCTTTCAAACAACAATCTGAATATACTACACCGACAAAATTACAGTAATATAATTCGAACAGTGCAACGAGATGATCATTTCCAACAATATCAATGAAATATATATTTTTCAGGGATGGACAAAGGTATTGAAAGCTGCTTCAAAGCATTTCAAGAAGAAGAATAAGAAGAGAGAGATCCCACTACCAACTCGAATGTCTCCAAGTTTTTGTCAGAATTTTTGAAGGTCCCAACTAGTGTTTTACTTCTTTGGCACAGATTGGAGTTCACAGGTTCTTCCTACTGAACATCAGTATATTTGATTCGTGCTTTTAATTTTGTACTCCAATAATTTAATCCAACTCTGTACCCCCATTTCAGTTTGAAGCAATATACTTCATTTCATCTCTAATTGGGTTCACTGAAAGAGTAATGATATTCATAATGAAAACTACCGATAATCGTCCTACGTAGCATACATGTGACGGTTTGTGATTTGATGCATGAATCGATAAAAAACCACCACTTCAATGTATCGAATCACAAACCACCACATATATGTCATGTAGTACAACTACTAGTTAGTCTTCTCTATAAATAGTATTACTAACTGAAATTGTACACATTTGTTTGCCAAGGATTTCCAGTTAAATCTTAAGACGAACACGTAGAAGGTCCAATCATAAAATAAACATCAAACTGAATCGGTAACTCGAATAGAACAATTTGCGAAGTTCACTGAACAGCCTAAAAACAAATTAACGTGTTCATTGGCCAAGGAAAAACACTACGTGCAAATTTCAGTTACCATTAGTGAAGTCAACCCTGTACTAATTAGAGAACTTTTCAATATATTAACGGAAAAATAGTGAAGAAACAAAAGTTAACAAAAACCATCGTGACTAAAAGCAGTGTGTATGTATCAATATCAAAGATGACAATTTAACACAAAAGAAACATATAAAGTCGAAACATCTACAGGAAGTACAATTTTGAGGATTACAACAGGAGAACAAAAATGCTAAAGGAAATAAAAAAAAATTATGTTTAAGCAAACAATCTCAAAAGCTATGGTACACACACTTGCCATCAAATGCGAGCAAGAGATAAAATACAACAGAAAAATCAAAGAATTGAAGCCATAACCTTGCCCTTCTAGAAATCTGTCCTTTGAGTAAAGAGTCAGTTGTTACAGAAGCCAGCAGTCCATGATCTATAACTTCACCATCAAGCTTATCTTTAGAATTGTGAATGAATAGGAACTCCTGCAAATTATTTTGCTGTGGAGTTTGGTGTCGAATTTTCTTCACCATTAGGTTTCGGTCCGCACCACAGTTTATAACTAATAAATTACCTGCCTGGCTCAGAAATAGCATCTTCAAAATGTTGTGACTAGAGTATATATACAACAACAACCAAAAAAAAAAATCATCATCGTCAAGAATTGGTAGCAACCTCTGCAGCACGCTGCCTCATCATTTCCATTACAGCAGCCCTTCGTCGGGAATCAGACTGTTGCTGCAGCCGTCTCAAGTGTTCCTTCAAATCTCTGCATCAAATCCATGTAATTGAATAAGCATTTTTTTTAAAATACAAAATCAGTTTTCCAGTACAGCGAAAAGAAGAATGACAAGAGGGCAGTAGGAATTGGTAGAACAAACCTGCAGCGTGGTACACTGCAGTCAGATTCTTTGCATGCTCGAGCATGAAGCTGAAGGAGATACCACATTTTCTTACAAAGAACACAACCTCCAGAAGCACGTATCTTACACAGCATACCATGGCGGAAAAGTCCCTTGACCTTGCGGCAGTTTGGATATTGGCAATGTGGGGAACGACACTGAGAAGCATGTACCAAGAGATCGAGCATTTTCCTAAGCTGCAAACCCAAAACACAGTTGCGTCACAAGATCTCCATCAAGAAAAAAATGCTTCCAAGGTCATTGTGTTACCCTCGTTGACTATATTAGAAACTAACATATCAAATATGAGAGACCCAAGCAAATGAAGCATAAAATTGAACATCACTTCATGATTGTTCCTGTACCCCTAGTGGACAAAAATCAGCTTAAACTACTAATTTCGCATTTCATGCCCCTTCCTAATTAATAAGAGCATCTCAAATAGACCCTCTATTTATAAAGAGCATCTTATATATAATAGAGAGCATTTTTAAATTTAGTGAGTAAATTTTTTATGCAATTCAACAATATTCTCTGTTTTGCCTCTTTATTTTGTTTTTTTCCAATTTATTGATTTCTCTTCATCTCTTATTTAACATAATTTTTTTATATGTTTATGGTCAATCAATTCAAATGTGATTTGAATAATTCGAATTTGAAATTGTAACTTATTAAATGCAATCATTGTTAATTAAGAATAGATAGTGACTATTTATTTTAAAAAGTTAGAATAAAGAGTCTCTTAGAGGTTATTTTGAAGCATTGACTCTCTAAAATAAAGAGTAATTTGTGTTTAGAGAGTCTTTTGGAGATGCTCTAAGATGTTCACCCAGTTATATTAGGTTCACCTGATTATTTTTGTGAAGCATTCCACCTAAATATCTTGTTGACATGTCATCTTTAAGGTGCATTAAACACTCTAATTACCTCAAAACAAAAAGACGTAGAACTCAGAAGGTAAAAGAACATAAAAGCTGCAAAATGACGTGCAATGCTCGAAAAAGAGAGAGAACAACATACCTGCGTAACTCGCATCTGTCTAGCTTCTTTATTTTGTGCATCACGATCATTGGATGTATGATTAGTTAACTTATGAGGATGATCAATTCCACCATCTTTCTGATAACAAGTATTGCACACATCATAATCTGGGCATGTCTCACAATGCCAACCTTGACCAGCATCTATATCAAGGTGGCATACATTGCATGTTATTACAAAAGCTGGTGCTGTGGGATTGTGTAGATGGTAGAGAACCATCATAGAGGAATGCTTAGCACGGCGAAGGGTATCATATTGATAGTGGTTTCCCTGACAAAGGCTGAGAAATGCCTGTCTCGTATCAAAGAATTCACTCTCCAGAATCTCATCTTTATCTTTGGTATCACTCGTGACATCAGTGATTTCAACCTGAATATTTACCAATTTCTCAATCCAAAAACTAAACTATATCCATGAAAAATGCATACTAAACACAGAAGTTCATACAAAACCACATTCGTGAATACAATAATCCTGTAGAACTTACTGGATAAAGTACATGCTTGTCCTTTTGATAGATAGGATGTCTCTCTCTGTCCTCACGTTTTTGTTCAGCTTCATAGCAACTGTTAGAGAAAGCATTAGAATGAAGGGGTGCTTTTCAATTACCAGCAGACTTTACAGCATGCTACTATACTGGAACATCATAGGGATTGCCTAGCTGGACTCGTTGGGGGTAGAAGGATGAATATTTATTGCAATCTATAGAAAGGGAAACTCAAAACCAGCTTCCACAAATGCCACAACCAACTACAAATTGATTTATAGGTAAAGCAAATACATGCTTACTAATATCAGAAAAATAAAAAACATAACATTTTAGAAGATTGCATATATTGAGGGAGCAGATACTCCGGGAGCATAAGGCTGCAGTCGGTAAGAATGAATCAAATCACCACCTAGCTGAGGTGTGTAAACTTAATTGATCAAGTGCCAGTGATCCACTTTCCTCAAATTTCAATCGCTTTAACAAATAATGTTATACAATCTAGCAAAGAATGGTAGAATCATATGTCAAAAGGAGATTTATAAAAGTAGGTAAATTCCATTCGCGATAACTAAACATTTACCCTAGTAAAAAATTAGCTTAGTTGTTTGAAAATGTCTTTGAAAGATCAACTGCAGTTGATTTTACAAGAAAGGACTCAGGATTAAAATGAAACCATGTTGTATTCTCAGGTAACAAATAATATCGACCCAGGCACGTATACATCACCATCTGTGCATATATATATTTATAGGCGCATAAACATTACCATATATACTTGCTGATACATAAGTACACACATATGCATCACATACATGTCACATGCTGATTTACAAACATTGAGCCACCGCATGAAATCAGCCAACATTAAAATGAACAGCAAACCATTTGTTTTTAATTAGAAATCAAGGCATACCAGATGACTGTAAAATACTATTTGCAGCAAGTGATAGTTAGGTGGGTAAAGTAACTTAAATCGCAGTTCTCATTTGTTAGATGAAGACATGAAACTAAACCAGTAGAATACTAGAATTCCAATTCACATTAAACCAAATTAAGATCTTGCTTCACATAGAGAAATAGATTGATGTTGCCCCCAGTGGATGGATTAGTTGCAGGCAATCGTCACTATAATTCAATTACATTTTTTATGTCAGCTATTTTTACTCCTTCAATGAATATCCTTCCAAATTAATGGTTCATGAGAGCATTAAACGGTGTAGATCAATGGTAAAAAATGTAATTTTCTAACGGATACATGAATAAATATCATTTTCTTGTGAAGGAAAGTGGAAAGACCCCCCAAACCCAACAAATGAATATTTCATATTGTACTAGCTGTCTCGGGCAATAGAAGATGGATAGCTCTATGAAATAATACAGGAAATAGAAGATTTTATACAAGAAAAAAGAAGTTTTAACTCTTAGTTCAAAAGTAAGCTGAATCCTTACTTGTCACAAAGCTGAAAATTTTTGCACTGTTTGCAATCCCAACGATTTCCAGACACCATGAGAATGCAGCAATGTGTGCATGCATGCTGCAAGTGAACCATGATAAAATCCTCTTTCATCGGACTAATTGTCTCACCAAGCTACAAAAACAAAGATTTTTCCTGAGAACCAGAAGAGAAGTGCCAGAAATGGCTTGCGATTTAAAAATAAAACAATACTATCTATTTGTTTTCGTAAATGTTCAAAACATATTTATTAACCACAGAAATTTTACACACGAAAGAGGACCAATATTAGTATTACTACACAAACTCAAAATGAGTAAGAGGACTAATTAAAGAGAGTGTGGACAATAGAATTACTTTATGCATCAACATCAGGTCCTTTGATGCATTCCCAGAGAGGTCAGTTTGGCCAGATGCCTTTAAAGCTCTTTTTGTGATGGTCTTTTTAATTGTTCCCTTCTTATGCTGTTTTCTTCCATCCTCCTCTTGTTGTAGTTGATAGATCATGTCCTCTGCAGCACCTGGCCAATAATCTCCATCAAAGTATGGCAACCGAGCTGCAGTCACCTTTGCCTTACATTCACCATTAGATACAAAGAAATGATCGTATAGATTAGTGAGCTCAACAACAATATTTTCCTTTGCGGCTTTTCTTAACATGGACAAGTACCTGAAATCGGATATATAATCTAAGTCACAACTAAAAACATCAAAAAGCATTAGCACGCTCCTCGTAATGCATACTAGAAGTGCCTCTTGTCAGACAGCTGTCAATCTTACCACTCTCTGAGTTTATCAGATTTTGGTGTCTTCTGAATTTCTGGGTGGCAATATAAAATATAGTCTTCACCCTTCAATGGTGGGCAAGCCCATATGTAGCAGCTTGTAAATCCACGCAACTTGCAATATTCTAAATATCCAATCTGGAAACATAACAGAAATATCATTGAGGTTGTTGATACAATGAATGGAAAAAAGAAACTTCCTAGAGGAATCAGTGAACAAAGACAAATAAGAGCTAATGGAGTCAAAAACTTGCCAAAATTTCATGGTACACAAATGTACGAAGAGCCTCTCCCGTCACTGCTTTGACCTCTGGCCGGAAGTACTTGACAGAATCAAGATATGATAGATAGACTCGGCGATGATTTGGCTGCAGACATTCTGATCCAAATTCCTGAAGATACATGCCAAAAAGGCATACTTCGACGCCTTCAATTTTTTGAAATAATAACAACACCTGGAAGATGAAACTTTTAGTTCATAGTCTGAAAGTTAATTAAGGGCACGCGAAAGCACAATAAAGATGATAATCTTAAGAAACACAAGTGTCCCATGCCTTCTGATAGAAAAGACATATCAAACTACTGTTCGTAAGTGTTCTCCATAATTTTGGACAGATACACATTAGGCATATCCACTAAAAATCTTCCAACTAAGATCTTCCCCCCTCACCATTCTCTCCAACCACAGAGAGACAGTTTGTTTTTTTTACAGTAGTAGCTGTTTCCAGTATTCTACAACGGACATCTGCCCTTTAAATCTACCTCCCCGCTCTCCCAAAAAACACTGAAAAGGATAAAAGTTAAGACGATACTAATGAGGGAAGACCAAAAGTAAGGAACAAGATATAGATATGAATTTATTTAGACCACATTTTTTTCAAACTCCTGCACAACATAACATAATTAAAATAAATGAACTTAAATCAGGAACCGAATCACTTATGGGCATTCCGTAAGTAAATTCAGGTCTCCATGTGCAACACCTTAGATTTATATGGGAACTCTGATGGATAATTTTCTTCTTGAAAAATTTCAAGAAACCGCGGTTTAACTTCCAATTTTTTGTCCACTGAGGAAACGACTCTTACAACAAGTGATTCTGCTCCTGGAACCTGACAAAATCAACATAAGAACAATCACAAACACAGGAACACAAAGAGAACACATGACGTAAAAGCAGTAGTAATAGTAGCAGTGGTAATATCAGTAGGAATGCAAAATAGTTATCCCAGATGAATTAATATGGTATAAGAAATAAGGAAAACAAAGAGATATGCTCAGCCCAGTCAAACTTGGTATGTGATTACCACACAAAAGAAAAAACAAAAGAGCACATGATCTTATAAACGAGAATTCAGATAAATTACATATAAAAGTAGCCCCAAAAGAAAATAAGGCCGGGGGAAAACAATTTTCTAGAGAACCTCGATGCATAAACTAAGACAACTTTTATTAAGTCAACTCTGGTAACTAATATGAAATGTCAAATTCATAAAAGAGTAATTCGATCTAAGCTTCAAATCAAAAGACAACCTAACAAAATTACATTCCTAAAAGCATATTTTTATTACGGTACAACTAAGTCTATTGTTGAAATCCCGAAATAATTGGAGATTCTACTTTCCATAGGAAGAATATATCAATTGATTCTAGAGTTTTTGGAGATTTGTTTTTCCTTTTTTTAGTCATTATTACTTGTACTATAAATAGGTGCCTACATTGTACATTACGTGAAAAATATTGAATAACTTTCTTCAATTAAATCAACATGGTATCAGAGCCGGCAGAATGACAGAAGCTGCCGCCAATAGAGGCTCAATGACCTCTGAATCCTTCAACGGCGAAACAGAGGCCACCTCTGCCATAAGCTCAGGAGGAATGGAAAACTCGTCGTTTCCACTCACAGTAGAAAAATTAGATGGAAAAAATTATAAAGAATGGGCACAATCCATCAAGCTAATAATTGATGGAAAAGGAAAGCTTGGGTATCTAACCGGAGAAACGAAGATGCCTACCGACGCTGCTCTTCTTCAACGATGGAGATCGGAGAATTCAATGGTGACCGCTTGGCTTGTCAACTCGATGAAGCCCTCAATTGGAAAAACCTATCTATTCTTACCTACGGCAAAAGACGTCTGGGAGGCAGTGAAGGAGATGTATTTTGATTCTGAAAATTCATCACAAATATTCGAAATCAAGTCCCGATTGTGGCAGATGAAGCAGGGAGAACGTGAGGTGATCGATTATTACCTTGAAATGACGGCGTTATGGCAGGAACTTGACCTGAGTTCTGAGGAGAAGTGGAAGTGCCCGGAAGACAGTGTGTATTACCGAAAAAAGCTGGAGAATGAACGGGTTTTTGAGTTCTTGGCTGGGCTCCATCGGGATTTGGATGACGTGAGGAGCAGAATACTCGGCCGGAAACCATTACCGTCGCCGCGAGAGGTGTTCGCAGAGGTAAGGCGTGAAGAGAGTCGTCGGAGAGTGATGTTGAATGGATCTGGGTCTGATATTGAAGCCTCAGGTCTAGTGATGAAAGGATTTTGGCCTCACAATAATGGGCCATCCGATTTTAAGAGTGGGCCTGCAAATATTAAAAAGGAGTTTGCTTCTATTGGGCCAAATTCTAATATTGGGTTGACTAATTCTAGTAATGGGCCTGGAGCATTGAGCTTATATTCTAAAGGGTCAACAATTGGGTCGAGTTCAAAACAGCAAACGGGTAGACCCTGGTGTGAACACTGCCGCAAGCCAGGACACAAGGAAGATACATGTTGGGATATTCATGGAAAGCCAGCAAATTGGAAGCCGAGGCAAAATAATAGAAATCGAGGATATCAAGTATCTATTGATCATCAAATTGAAAAATCCAAAGAGTCTAACAATGCCTTTAATGCCGAACAGATGGAGCAACTCTACAAAATGTTTTCCAACCTTCAATCATCGAGTCAAACATCCACGAACAATCCTTCAAGCTCACTAGCTCATAGAGGTAACTTTTTGAGAGCCTTAAAATCCGTCACCCAATCCAGAACTCCCTGGATTATTGACTCTGGAGCATCTGACCACATGATGGATTCCTATCGCCTATTTACTTCATATTCAACATGTGCTGGTAATCTTAAAGTTAAAATTGCAGATGGTTCCCTATCTACCGTGGCAGGAAAAAGGAGTATTCGAATTTCTGATTCTATAACTTTAGAATCTGTCCTTCACGTTCCGAATTTATCATGCAATTTATTGTCCATAAGTCAATTAACAAAAACTTCCAATTGCTCAGCTAAATTTCTTCCATCTTATTGTGTTTTTCAGGACCTATCATCGGGGAAGACGATTGGCAGTGCTAAGGAAAGTGAAGGACTCTATTACTTTGAAGAGGCTGATGTGAGTGAACGGTGTCAAATTAAAATTTGTGATTCTGCATCTGTCCCTAGAAATAGTGAAATTATGTTATGGCATTTTAGAATTGGTCATCCTAACTTTCAATACTTGAAACATTTTTTCCCTTCTATTTTCTTGAATAAAGAGTCAATTAATCTTCATTGTGAAATCTGCGAGTTTGCAAAACACCAACGTAAAACATTTCCAATATCTGGATACAAACCCTCAAAACCATTCACCATGATACACAGTAATGTATGGGGACCCTCACGAGTCCCGAATCGTACTCACGCAAAATGGCTTGTTACATTTATTGACGATCACACTCGACTTAGTTGGGTTTACCAACTCAAAGATAAATCTGAAGTTCGTTCAGTCTTTACCAACTTCCATTCCATGATTCAAACACAATTTCAGACACAAATTCAAGTGCTACACACAGACAATGGCACAGAATACTTCAATAACATCATGGGAGACTTCGTCCAAATACATGGAATAATTCATCAAAGCTCTTGCGTTGACACTCCCCAACAAAATGGGATTGCCGAACACAAAAATAGACATATCCTAGAAGTTGCTCGTGCCTTATTGTTTACCACAAACATGCCTCAAATGTTTTAGGGGGATGCTATTCTTACATCCACTTATCTAATTAATCGGATGCCTAGTCGCACTCTAAACTTTGAAACACCCATCCAGAAATTTCAGAAATACTTCCCCACTTCTCGTCTAAGCTCTAATCTATCCCTAAGAGTGTTTGGGTGCACTACCTTTGTTCATATTCACTCTCATCACAGAAGCAAATTTGATCCTCGCGCAATTAAATGTGTGCTGATCGGATATTCTTCTACACAAAAAGGTTACAAATGTTATGATCCTACCACAAAAAGGACCTTCATCACTCTTGATGTCACATTTTTCGAAAATATTCCGTACTTTGAGAAAACCTCTCTTCAGGGGGAGACCTTAAGTGAAGATCGGTTCTTTGATGTCAGTCTCTCCCCTCCTATACCTACCCTACTCTCCCCTCCTTCTAGGATGCCATCAATAAACGTAAACTTGAATCAAGGGGGAGATGTAGAAAAACAACATGTTAAGGAGATACTAGTTTATTCACGAAAGCCAAAATCAAAGAACATGGAGAATCTCACATCCGATGCACCAAGAGAGTCAGAATCGATGATAGCTCCAGATCCTCAGAAAGTATCGAAAATATCTGATACTGACTTACCTATTGCTCTTAGAAAACAAACACGATCATGTACTCTTCATCCTATTTCAAAATTCATGTCCTATAATACTCTGTCTATAGGATTTCGTGCTTTTACATCTCATCTTGACAGTACAGTTATTCCAAGGACTATCCAGGAAGCCTTGGGAATCCCCAAATGGAGGGAAGCGGTATTGGAGGAAATGCGAGCATTGAAAAAAATGATACTTGGGAAGTAACAAACTTGCCTCAAGGAAAAAAACCTGTTGGATGCAAATGGGTCTTCAATCTGAAATACAAAGCTGATGGGACAATAGAACGGTATAAAGCTCGGTTGGTTGCAAAGGGATACACACAGACCTACGGGATCGACTATACAGAAACATTTGCGCCGGTAGCAAAGTTAAATACAATCCATGTCCTTCTATCGCTAGCAGCAAATTTGGACTGGCCACTTCAACAACTGGACATCAAAAATGCATTTCTAAATGGAGAATTGGAAGAAGAAGTCTTTATGATATTACCACCAGGTTTTTGCAAGGAAAATGAAAAAAACCGAGTATGCAAGCTAAAAAAATCTTTGTATAGACTCAAGCAATTACCAAGAGCATGGTTTGACAGATTTGCAAAAGTATTGAGAGGTCAAGGATATCATCAGGGACAATCAGATCACACTATGTTTTTTCGGCATTTTGAAGATGGGACTAAAACAATTTTAATTGTATATGTCGATGATATTGTTCTGACAGGTGATAATACGAGAGAAATGGAAAGACTTAAGGAAAGTCTTGCCACTGAATTGGAGGTGAAGGATCTTGGCCCTATGCGATATTTGCTGGGAATAGAAGTTGCTAGATCGAGACGAGGCATCAGTGTATCACAACGAAAATATATTCTTGATCTCCTAACTGAAACTGACATGTTAGGATGTAAACCAAGCGATACACCTGTAGATGTGGGAAAGAGAGATGAAGATGGAAATTTGGTAGATACTGACAGATATCAAAGATTAGTTGGAAAATTGATCTATTTATCACACACAAGACCTGATATCGCATTCGCAGTAAGTCTGGTAAGTCAACATATGCATTCACCGAAGGAGAGTCACCTAGAGGCCGTCTATAAAATACTCAGATATCTCAAGGGCTCCTCTGGAAAGGGGCTATTTTTCAAAAAGAACGAAGGAAGAGAAGTTGAAATCTATACGGATTCAGATTGGGCAGGATCAACATACGACAGGAGGTCTACTACTGGTTATTGTACCTTTATATGGGGAAATCTAGTGACATGGAGAAGCAAAAAACAAAATGTAGTAGCCCGGAGTAGTGCTGAAATTGAGTTCAGAGCTGTTGCACAAGGAATATGTGAAGGGCTGTGGTTGAGGAAACTTCTGGAAGAATTACTTGTCACAATAAAGTTGCCAATCAAACTTTATTGTGATAACAAAGCGGCAATCAACATTTCCCTTAATCCAGTTCAGCATAACAGAACTAAACATGTAGAGGTGGACGACACTTCATCAAAGAAAAAGTTGAGTAAGGAACTATCTGTATGACATATGTTCCCACACTGGCACAAATTGCAGATGTCTTTACCAAAGGGCTACCTAGACCGAAATTCGATGATTTCATCTCCAAGTTGGATATGATCAATATTTACGATCCAACTTGAGGGGGAGTGTTGAAATCCCGAAATAATTAGAGATTCTACTTTCCATAGGAAGAATATATCAATTGATTCTGGAGTTTTTGGAAATTTGTTTTTCCTTTTTTAGTCATTATTACTTGTACTATAAATAGGTGCCTACATTGTACATTACGTGAAAAATATAGAATAACTTTCTTCAATTAAATCAACATCTATATAAACTTTTTATTCTAACCGTATATATTGGTATATAATTTTTCAACATGAAGAATGATTAAAGTCTGGAATCCCAAAATCTAATGGCTTTATTCAAAAAAGCAATATTCACAGTTAATAATTTGAGATAAAAAAACGAAAATTTCATGGAATTTGATGCAGGACAATTCTATCTCAAATAGGACATGAAATTATTTCTTGTTCTAATATGATTTTATTTCTTGTTTTGATTAAGACTTTTTATTCTTTTTAAGTTTTAATTACCTATCTTCCTTAAGCTATTAGGATTAGGAGATTATTTTGCCTATATAGACTAAGGGTTTGTAATTATTTCAATAACCAATTCATTATAATCAAGTTATTCTCTACATATTTTCGAATTTTTCAACTTTATTTTTGTTTCAATAATTTCAATTCCGGTTCTGCGCCATAATCGCTCATTATTGCTGACATGTTCTTTACCCTCAAAATTACGGACAAGAGCCATTGAATATCTTTGGAATTACAGCATCAAAATCTACACTGGTTAAAATATTCTCTATATTTATTGATTTCCTTAAGCTACTCGAAAGTAGGAAAATATAAACCCAAATATTGAACAGGGAAACACGAAGCAAATATCTTAGTATGTACAGCATCACCACAGATCATAGAAAAAGAAAGAACATCAACCACTACTGCATATACATAGCAAGTCAATTGAATCACCTCATCATAACTTTTTCCTTGAAGCCTAGCTCTTTCCTGTCTTTCTAGCTTTAGCCGTCTAAACAATCGCTGCTCAATGTGATCGCTCAAAATTGTTCTAGGCAAATCTTTTGCCCCAAGAACAGCACTCTGTGGTAATGGCATACGTTCTCCTCTTTCAACTTCCTCTATGTAACAATTTGGACAAGTGTACTCAGCTTGTCCTCCATCATTCCTTCTACCATTAAATAATGCACATATTTGATGTTGCCAAGCTTCACACTTATCACATTGTACCCACTGCAATGAAACTGATTGTCAATATCTTAGGCTAACATGGGCATAAAAACTAATTTAGTAGGTGGATATACATACCCATTCTTCAGTTTCCTCATCATTTTTCTTCTTCTCCATCCTTGCCTTTGGAATAGAATTTGCATCAACTGCAATGGTATCTCCACGGGCTTCATTATAGCAGGGAATGCAGAAGTAATGACGAGTATCACCCGCCCCAAAGGTATAGTACATCGCATTTCTTTTAACACGAGCACCACAAGGTGTACAATATATTGGTGGTGGTTCAAAGGTAAGCTTCTCAACTGCACACAACTGGCAAGAATTCTCACTCATTGTACGCTCCATTGCTTGATTTTTTTCTGCTTTTGCTTTGCTCTGTAAAAGAAAATGAAAAATTAGAAACCAATAGCGGAGAACACTTAATCACGCACAAGAAGAACACATGATAAGGAATTAAACCCCTTGAAGAGGTTGCTGAAAATAAATCGGCAAGTTCAAATCCAGAAATTGGTATATCCTACCCAAACAACATAAAACGAAATAACTAAATAAATAAAATTGAAAAAAAAAAAACGAAAGAAAGGAGAACCCATCAAAAGAAGAAAATATGGGCACTGCTCCGCAACTATATAAGCAGAAGTGGATAACTGTCTGTCTTAGAGTATATAACTTGCTTAACAAGTTCCTGAGTCAATTTCAATCAACCAACTAAATTGTGTTGCCACCAATGTGCATGAGATGGACTGCGTAAGAAATGGAGCCAATCCCTTATTCAATTCAGATATTGTTTGGAAACTGTTTATAAACAGTTTAAGCCCTTGTTTGGTCCCCTTTATTTTCAAAATACATGTTTCTCTATCTTATTTTCAACTACACATTTTTGAATAAAATAATATTACATGCATACCCAAAACTATTATTTACTTTTTAACCACACATTCTCCATCAAAATACTATTCTAAAATGCAATATTTCCAAAAAAAAAAGGGGCTCAAACAAGCTCTAAATTATAAATGGGTAGAAATGAGTAGTGGACAAGGGGTAGTACTTGTGGGTCCCACAAAATGCGTAGAAAAATGTAATATTTTAAGCGATATGTAAAAGAGAAACATGCTAGATTATCATGTACAAATAAATTACAACTATACCAAGGCTGAAGGGGGCAATTATGTAAAATGTTTGTATTAACAAAATAACGCAGCCTAATATCAAGTTTTCAATTAGAATGACCGTTCGTTGAATTGTCGAGTTCGGAAGAAAAAATAACACATGCCTTATCAGTCTACTAACTTCTCATTTCTTTGGTAGCTAAGTATAAATTTAGATTGTAAAATCGTGACATTTTTTCTTGAAGAAAGATGGTTCTATATGTTAACAGTATTTCAACAAACATCTTAGGGTGTAAAGATCTTCCCAGCAGTTAGAGAAATGCAGAAATGTAGCATACGTGCATGCCACAGCAATTTCCTAACTGAGAATATCAAGATCTATAATTGCCTCGTCAATAAGGTAACACGAATAGGTAAAATAGACTAACCTGTCCAACCCACTGTCTCAGACCTCTAATGTGCTCCCGAACTTGTTCAGGGGTGAACAGCTCTGTCATCGAGACTCCTTTTATGGTTGGCTTCCCAGACTTCGATACATTTTCAGCAGGTAATGATGTGTTTACTTGTTTATCCTGGTCCAATTCCTTCTCAATTGTAATGCCCTCCTTAAAATCAAAGCCAGAAGAATTTTTCTGTATGATTTGATCATCACTTTGGATGTAGATATTGCCAAAATTATCCTTTTTCATCTCAACACTCTGACTGCTTTGTCCAACACTTGTAGGAACCTCAATCTTTATTTCTGTAACTTCAGGTTTTGTTGACATACAAGAGTCACGGTGTTGTTCAGCATGTTGTGCATTTGGAAGGGGATGAGGTCCATTTGTGGAAGCATGTGGTACAACAGAACTTTCACTTTCAGACACTAGAGATCGGGAGGTTGGTTCAGTCTTTATGCGTTTAATAGAAGGCTGTAAATCTTCTGGAGTTTCAGCTACTGTTGGGTTTGTCTTCGGAGTCGACCTACCTGCAATTTCAGCAGCATCGGAGGATTTACAGGATCCATTGACTGGATTTGGTAGACCGGAATTGATATCAGAACGAGCAAATGCCTTTAACTGTGCCTGTACAAAATTCTTAACAGGAATGCAAACAGGGCAACTTGCATCCTTACAGCGCCTGTGATGATTGATTAAAACCTTTGTGGCTCGGCAACGTGGATATGTACATTGAAATATGTTGCATCTTTCCATATGTTTCAACAGATTTTGTGCTGTTAAGCAATTGGGATCTTGACATTTTCCTTCTGGAGCCGGACATTGACGAGCATGGCGTAAAAACAACAGCCATCTCTGTTGATTCTTGAACTGCCGTTCACGATTAAGGTTATTGGATCTACAGACAGTGCCACTTACATTTGGAGGTTCTTTGGATTTAGTAGCATCAGACTGACCAATAATTGATTCTTCTGAAGATAAATTGTTTTGCTGAGCTACATTTTGCCCACTTATACCCTGACGAGAATCCTCGTGCATATTTTGATCATGTGCGAGTCTCCCCAATATATGAGACCCATCCTGAGAGTTGGGATACCATTGACCTTGAAGTGCTGTATCCGGTTGGACGCCACCAGAAATACCGCTCAAATCTCTTTCTGGGTTAGTAGCAAACTGATCAGGATGCATCAACTGTTGCATCTGATCCGAAGTTTGAGTTAGTGATGAAAAGGCATCCTGTGAGCGTGAAGGACGTGAGAGCAACTGAGCACCTCTTGAACCGGTTTCCATGGGGTTCTGTGGTAATTGAGTCTGCATATCTGAAAATTGAAATGGCTCAGGGACTTGGAAGTGCAGACCTTCATCACGATGCTCTATCTCAGGCTTCCCTTCAGAATCAGTATTTGATAACAACTGAGACTGGGCAAAAATGTCATTCTTCAACATGAGCTGGTGTTGTTGACTTTGCTGCTTTTGCTGGAGTTGATGGCGCTGGAATTGATGAGACGACTGATGAAATTGTTGGTGTTGATGGGAATTTACAAGATCATCTCTCCCTGAATATTGTGATTGATAGTTCATCTTTTCTGATTGATCAATTAATTGAGGCTTCATACTTGTCACTTGTTGAGTAGAGTGAACATTCGTCTGATTGGTCATCAAAGGAGAGTTTGTTTTCGGCATGGACTGCAAAGATACAGCATTCAAGCTCTGATTGTTCACCATCTGTGAAGCATACAAGTTTCCAGACCCGGCAGATTCAGCAGCACCAATTCCATACCCATTACCTGTCAAGTGGGCTATTTGCAGTGAGAATACCAGTAAAAGACAACTGAAAGATCAATTTCTAATTCTTTTATCCAAAACCACAAATATCAAAATACTTCAAACACAGAGGGAGAGAGAGGGAGGGAGGGAGGGAGAGAGGGAGAGTACCATGCATTACTGTTCGTTGATGTTGATCAAAATGTTGTTCCAAGGGTTTGGGGGAATTTCCATACAGTGTTCCTGTTAAATAGCCCTCAGAAGCTCCTGTGTCATTCATCGTATTGTTTACCATCATCCCCAACCCACCTTTTAAGGGGCCATTTGATAATCCATAGGACTTTTGCTGCAAGGTGGACCTAATTCCGCCACCTAAATGGCCACCAATATTATGCAATATACGACTGTTTTGACCACCAACATGCTGCTTTTGCTGCATGGGCTGTGATACAATTGTAGATTCACCAGTTTGAAATGCACCAATATTATTAGAGGATTCCATATTCATGAAAGGCTGATTATTAGCATTAGTATTTACATCATTATTACTAGAACTATTAAATCCAGGAGTAGGAATCATTTGGCTTGCCATTCTTTGTGCACCCATGGATGTCATCATATTATTTCCACCAGAATTGGTCGAAAAACTGGAAGACGGCAGTTGATATCCACCAGATAATGTTCCTGCAAAGAAATATTCAGTGAGACAGTAAGGAAAGGACAAATTAATAGCTTCTCATTTCGATAGATCACAAGATTTGTAAGTACCATCAGAGGAACTAAAAGAACGACCATGCACGGTCCCAGAGGGCCCATTTCCAGTAGACATGAAGCCCCCAGAATTGACAATGGATGATGGAATATTAGAATTATTGTTGGCAATAACTGAACTATCAACAGACGATGTTCCTATAAGGCTTGAATTCCCAGGTTGCATCAATCCAGGAGTTGGAATCATTGTTCCAATGGAAGCAGAAGTATTAGCATGTGAAAATGGCTGGTTTTGATTACTCATGGGTGATCGTTTAATTAGAAAGTGCAGACGACTTTCCAAGGTTGACAGATTCAGATACTCCTCCTATAACACAAGACATAAAAGATAAGACATTAGAATATTTACACAGTTAGCAATTATTTATTTCAGCAGTATAAGAATCTTTCCAAGATACTTTATAACAAGCCAGCAGATTTTCCTAATCTGTGATTATTGGAAAGAATGGAAATCATATTGAAAGTTTAATCTCAAGTCAAATACCATAATGCATATTTTACGCATGTTGTAAACAAAGATTGAACTGTGACAAACCTTTGAACTGGCACTCTTAACCAGACCTTCTTCTAGGCGTCTTACTAAATCCATCATTTTCTTCGTAGGTACTTCTTGAGATTGCTGCCGCCGCTGGTTGAGAAATTCAAGGCTGTAGAATAGAAACACCATAACTTTCTATCAAAGTTCATTATGTGTGAAATCACAAATGCCAGAGCACCTACATGTTTGTGACAAGGTCCAGGAAGTAATTTTTACAACCTTACACAGGGTACTTGAAGAAAGTGACCAAATAAAAAATTTCACCAGATGTGAGGAGAAAGAATTGAGACAAGACAAAGCAAAATATGTTGCCAAAACAATAGTATACTATTAATTCTGCAATCAAATGAGCATAATATATACTTATATCCAAATTAAAGATGCAAAATGAAACAAGAGATGGTTGCTACAACACAACAGCGTGATTTCATCCAATCATCTCAAGACTGGTAAGTGAATAAAGGGGAAAATGTCATTGTAACAAAAGATCCTCGCCATAAACAGAAAAGAGAAATCATAGGAATGAATGCAGTTGAGTGCAACAAAAGAAAAATACAACTTTCCAGCTCATATATCAGTTAATTGGCCACTGTTCTTACAAAAATCATGTACAGAATACAAGAACTTTATATCGATTTGTTTTGTTACCATTGCAGTGCATATCTTCTACAATTACTCACCACAATGCAACAAAGAAGCCAAATCATTTTCTATATGCCAAAACACATGCGGTACTCCATATGCTGAAGATAAAATGCCAGCTCTACTCAAATACTATAAAAATCTAGAAAAGCTGGATAACCACACTTCCAGCCAGTTTAATAAATCATTTTTTTTTATAGTGATGTTTTTGCAACATTCAGTTGCACGTATTTTAGACGAAAATAACTAAAAAAAATCCCGATGCAAAAATGCCATTTGGACTTCAGTCTCACAAAAACTTGCAGAGCAAGTTACACAGCACATGCCTGCTTAAACGCCTATTGCCATCAAAAGTTGTCATTTTTTCATTGTTTTATTTTAAATTCTTAACACAGAAACATAGAGAACCACCATCCTACTACAATTCATTATAGAACATAATTACTCAGGGCAGGAAGGGGGGATTTGTGGAACAAAAATCAAGGAACTTGCCAATAATAATGATATAAGTTAAAGTTTGGTTAGCATATAGAATATTCAGCAGCAGAACATGAAATCCACGTTCCATTTTTTTAATGTTCCTAGGTAAAACAGTTGACATACGAAACCAGGACCAAAGTCTAGATCAAGTGGTAAGAGCGAAACCTTACCAGGTCATGGACCTGAGTTTGAGACTCCTTTTGTTGGGAAGGGGGGGAGGGAAAGGGGAAAAAAAAAACAACTGACATGAAACTATTATGGAAGTAGACCCAGAACTACAAGTATCACTACAAAGACTTTGAGCCAAGCTGATGCTATAAAGTTATTATCTGCTTCGTTAACCCCGTCATGCATATGATCCAATTCAATCAGATAAACAGATCGAATAACAGCAAGAAAAAGTGTATCTATAAATGACATAAATAAAAGAAGTTTACATTTTTTCTGCCATATATCTCCGTTCTTTTGCAAATTCAGGATCCATATATGGGACACCGCGATGGATACTAGGATTTTGCATCTGGCCAGGTAGAGAATTCCCATTTTGCTGTGCCAGTCCAGGCACTGAAGTACCAGCTTGGTTCAGTGCCTGTCCTGAGATCTGCCCTGAAAGGTGGTGCGCGGGTAAATTCATATTCATCTTCGCCTAGGCTAATGAATTTGTCCTTCATAACACAAATACCAGAGTTCCAACATTTAGATAACCAACATAATATGCCAATTGGAATAATGTATCCCTAATCAGTCATATTCCGTAAGTAATGCCGCCCATATTGTCTGACCAGGGTACCTGCAATGGGAAAAGATGGGTCATGACCCAATGAATGAGCATTCAGAAAAGATAATCTCATAAAATTTCTAAATCAAATAGCTAGTGATGCTAGATTGGAAAATTTGGGACAAGCTCTCCTGTTCACGTTGTTTATACGCACAGTGCGCAACATTTTACCATCCCCATATCCTAGTCCATTTCAAAGGTCAATGTGTATTTTCTGCAAGATGCTTGCTTTTTGCTCCTTTGAGAACAAAAGATGATTTCATCACTAATCACTTGTTCCCTGGTTTCAGAAATACTGTTCATATGCTATTCCAAATGTTTCTCTAAGGTTTTTATCACTTCTTTAAATATTGCATAAAATCAAATTGAATATTCCACAAGAAAATAACAATTTAAACTCGATTAACTGAGAATAATGAGTTAAGAAAGCCGCCAATGAATCAACTGAAGTAGGGGAATTACCGTTCCATAACACAATGGAAGTCCTTGACAGAAGTATCAAAATCAGTCAATCCAATTATAGTTGGAAATACTTGTCTTTACTGGGTAAAACATTTGATATGTGCTTAATGAACATAAATCACATCAAACAGGTTACAGCCTCCTTATTTGGTTGTTATAGGCAGGAGAGAGCATAAATCACATCAAATAAGCCCACCAACACGTGCTCTTAAGGAGGAGAAGAAAGCTTCTTTCCGTAGTTCTCTTCTTCTGTGCAAGGAAAATGGGGAAAGCACAACCCATTATTCATATACTGTTGTGTGCAAGAGTCAGCACCTTTATTCACTCTTCATAAATGGCTTAGGTCATGCGTTTTACCGAAAGCAGCACTTTTTCCTTTGCTAAAGCTTTTAAAGGAAGTGGGAGACCAAAGGTTTCTGTACAAGTACCTTGTGTACGGTAAGGGTGGTTTGGAATCAGAAGATAATAGGTGGGCTTCTAATGCACACAGGAGGAAGAAAACTAAATGCAACTTCTTTTATACCTCTTTCCCTTAGGTAGCAATCTCTCTCCATTCATCTCCGTATTTTATTCTGATTTTTTATGGTAGGAATATATTTTTCTTTTACTAAAAAAATCATATAATTTATCAAAAAGAAACATTTAAACTTGCTGAAAATATACCCTGAAAGAACACAAATTTCACAGGACCATAAATTCGACTGGAAGATTTCCAGCTATGCATTACATAACAAATGGTTGGATCATATAGCTATAGAACGGATTTGTGATTCATAGTGGCTTCAGAAATTCAAGCTGTTAACAAGATTTCAGGCAAAAAAACATTTGAATCCATTGATAGTCAAAATTATAACACTACAAGTATAGATGTCTCTTGCTAAAGAATCGTGCACACAGCTCAAAACAAGAGGATTCAATCTAATCATTTGCCACATGACAAATTTCACAGTAAAAAGCACATTAATGATGAAATCGAGAATTAAATGCAAATGGCCAACCTTGAGGGATTGCTCAATTGGTCAGGCCTTGGGTTTGATCCCCAATGGTCACCAGTTCGAGTCCCTCAGGGCCACTGAGGTAAGTACCCCGCTATAAACTTCAAGGCTCCGTGGAATTAGTCGAGGTACGTGTAAGCTGGCCCGGACATCCACGGTTATTAAAAAAAAAATGCAAATGGCCATAAAATCTAGAGGTAATCTATCTTTTTATTTTTAAGCCTCCAGAAGATTATAATCAAAATTACCATTTTACCAAACTTTCATCCAATTTACAATACAATTAAGGATTACAAAATTGGAAGAGTATGGAAAGATGCAATGTTCTCATTTAATTCCAATCCCCTTCTTAGCACAAAAAAAAGAAAAAAAATCTATTAGGCAAGTAAAATTCTTTAACAAATTCCTAACTTTCAACTTATTCACATTATAGAAAATAGGAAAATCAAATATATTGAAGTATTTAATTTCCGTAGCATTCAATTACACGTGGAAGACAATTGGGTCAGTATGAAAACAACAGCAGATATTCATCGAGTTTAAATTACGGCGGCATCAAAGGAATTTGACAATGTTAGGTTTCAATCCAAATTGGGGGAAACCATGAATTATGATTAAATGCACGCTGGATTTTCGAATTGGGTGCAAAACTGACTGAAATTAATAATGAATTAAAAAATAAAATTTTTAAATCCAGTGACTTACCAAAATTATAAATACGGCCAAAACTGAAAGTGGAATAAACAGGAGCCAATCCAAAGAGAGAAGAAAATAAATTAAATAAAAAAAAATCCAATAGAATCGAGCTGTGAGCTTGAGCTGATGTTAAAGCTTCATCGGCGAGTAGAGGTCTCGGCGAAGAGCAGCTATTCGGAGAAGAGAAGGGCCAATTTAGAAATGGGTATTTCATTTTAAGTGCCTTTTTCCCCTTTTTTTTAATTGCCTCTCAATAAGACAATCGTTTTCAATTTGACCCTCATAGAATTAATAATTTATCAATTGAGGCCTTTGAGATTCAGCAAATGAGCATTAGAAAGGATTGAACATGTTTCAATTTAGCTCCTATTTGTCTCTTCGTTATTTTAAGACTCTTTTTTTAACATATTCATTTTTAATCAAACATTAACACAATAAAATATTCTACACGTAAATCAAAAACTTTTCGATATTTTTTAACCACAAATTATCTGAAAAATTATTTTTTAAACCAATATTTTTTCAAAAAATGGCCACCAAACATGGGCTTAATAGAATTTGAATTCGAATTGTGTTAAATATTGATTGCAATATCATATAAATTTATTAAACCTCGAACCCAATCACTTTTGAGATTAAAGAGAAGGACATTTTATTAGGCATTTGAGATGGTTAATGAGTGTGATCGCATTTGAGAAGGACAAACTATCGTTATATATATACTAAGACAATTGAGTTTATTTCACAAATAATCACTAAAGTTTGTGCATAATTCCAAATTGTTCCTTAAGTTATTTTTCATTTTTTAATATAGATTATCAATTAGTCAAATAAATGAGAGAGAAAGAAATGACCATGTAAAGAAGGTTGGCCGATCCCAACGGACAACTAGTTCCGATAATACAAAATCTACTTGATATGGCGCCAAATGGATCTGAACTTAGCTACTTATCAAGGCAGCCTCGCAATGCCTAGCCGAGATCGGGCAATTGATTGAAAATCCTAACTTGAGACATCGTCCAAGAGGTACAAAAGGGAAGCTCCCTCGTGTCATCTAACAAAAATGAAATGACTCTTCTACTCATTATTGAAATTTGGATAGTGAGGAAAGTAGAGCAAATGTTAGTGTTAAGTAAAAAATAATAGTTATACTCGCACGATGAATGCATTTAAAGATGCACCAGAAAAGTTCGAGAGATGGATCAATGCCATTCAAAAGGCAAAGGCAAAGAAAATAAATTGATATTCGCTGAGCATATGAAGTAATCTAACTTGGTGTTAGGTGGTTCTTATTGACAATAGAGACAAAAATCAGAATCATGTGCCCATGTTGTCATTAAATATTGCGATTTCGATTGGGTTTATCACTGTGAAATGCTCTTTTAAAGAAGCGCTCCATAAAAATGATGGGGAAACAATTTAAACTCTTTAATGACCTAGTCAATTTAATCTTTGTTATAAATACTACCCATTTTTGGGATCTTGAGCAATACATTATCACCCCGAAGTGTCGGCGTACTTGAAGGACCAGGTTGACCGATGACATCATGGTCGACTAAGGGGTCATATCTCCCAAATGATGGTCACTATTAGGTTCTTCCGAATATCCTGAATATTGGTTGCCTCTATCACTTGACTCACTATTTGAAGAAATACTTATTTTATACATCGAAAATATAGAAAGATAAAGAATGAAAAGAGCTTAAGATAGGTTGAAAACAAAACTCGATTAAGGAGCTAAGGAAAGAATACATTTACAATACTGAAAAAAGGAACTAGTGAGCCCCTATTTAAAGGCATTGAGGAGTGAAGAGCCTTGTGATACTTATGGCCTACTGTTGACACATTAAAAGTGCTGCCCAAATTAAATAACCTAAAGAGTGAGGCACAATTAAGGAGTCCAGGATAAAGACCCAAATAAGATGATTGATGAATGCAGAGGAAGCCCACGAATACAGTAATATCATCGCCTAAACTTGCAAGACGTCCAGAATCTGATCGAATGGAGTGTCTTACGGTCGCCCAGAGCGATGACTTCGTTCTTGCCCAAACCTTCGAGTCGCCCAGAATCTTAACAATATGAGATATTATGGTTATCCGGAATAGCAGTTATTGAAGCAGTTATCGAGCAGACTTATCACATTCCACGATTCAAGGAGCCCAAATGAAGGCAGTTGAACGACAAAGAGTAATGACAGCAGTTAGAGATGGCAGTTCCACGACAAGTTAGCCACCATGAAGAAAGTGGGTAGTTATAGAGCAATCAAACAGTTTGCAAGCGGTTTGTCACGAAAAAATCATCAAGAGAATATAAAAAGGAAGAGAAGACATAGAGAAAAAACTCCGAATCAAACACTCTCAAACAGAGAATATGTAATTTCAATTTCTTAGATTAACTTTAATTATCCATTTTCAGTACTCGTGTGCTTGCGTCCCTTGGAGACATTCTGTTTATTTCCAATTGTAACTTTCATCAATAAAGCACCCACTTTTTGGGACTTTGTTTCAAGAGGTTTGTCCCTTACACAATCGTCTGATCCCTTTTTTAATTGTTAGCGACAATCCGCGCGATACAATTTGGCACGCCCGGTGGGACATTGGTGTTTGGTATTGAGGATACAAAAAGTGAAACATTATGCCTCATAAAAATTCTAATAAGGAACCAGCAAGTCAGGGAGTAGTCTGTCTGTAGTCGAGCGATATGAGGAG